GCTGAAAGTGGTGCCGCTTAGGGGAACCTGGTGGGGTGGCGTGGGAGTGGGGGGGTGTCAGTCAGTTGAAGAAAGCCAGCAGAGGGCAGCCAGCATGATCTGGAAGTCCTCAGGGGAAAGCAGTCCAGACACAACAGCCCTGACTGGACAGGTGCTGGCTGCCATGAGAAAGGACACCCAATAGCCCAGCTCTTGCTGAAGCAGGAGGTACTGGGGAGCTGGGGTTATGGAAGGAGAGAAGGTGACACCTGCAGGCTGCACTCTGGCCTGGGAAGCTTGGGGGGAACTGCTCCACCCCTGCCCCAGCTCCTGGCCAGAAGCCAGGATCTTCCCCAAACACAACTGCCAGTGGGCAGGCTTCCAGGTGGGGTGGGAGCCACCCAGCAAACAGGTTCTGGGCCGACACAGCAACCTGTGGTTAATCAGCACCAGGAATCATGACTCCATCTCAGAACCCAGGTCCTCCTCCCACAGTAGCACCCCAGAAAGGGAGGGTCGTGAGTCCTCTGCCATCTAGACCCTCCCACCCCCTTCCCACAGGGAAGCCAGTGCCTGGGAGCCTATGTCACTAAAGCAAGGCCAGGTGTCCTCCCTACAGTGAGCATCCCTGTACCCTGAGGCCAGCAGCCTGCCACCTGTATTGTTCTTGTTTTTTGTGAATAGCTTTACTGGCACAATCTGTGCTCATTTACATACGAAAGTCACTTCCTAAAGCATAAGTTGAGATGGGACAGACAGTGTGGTCACAAAAGCCCAAATTGTACTGTCTAGGGCCTTAACAAAAGTGCCTGGGACTTAGCTGGATATGGCAATGTGCCTGTAATCCCCTGCACTCAGGAGGGCTGCTGGGAGTTCAAGACCTGCCTGGGACACATAGAGGACTCAATCAGACATCTATAGAACCTACTCCAATGCTCCCGCCACCTTTTTTGGGGGGTGGGAGTTCGAGACAGGGTTTCTCTGTGGCTTTGGAGGCTATCCTGGCCTCGAACTCACAGAGATCCTCCTGCCTCTGCCTCCCAAGTGCTGGGATTAAAGGCGTGTGCCACCAACGCCTGGCTCAGTGCTCCCCTTTCTTTCTTTTCTTTTTTCTGAGGCAACCTCTGAGTAGTCATATAGCCAAGGCAAGCCACAAACTTACTACATAGCTGAGGCTGGTTTTGAACTTCTGTCCTCCTGCCTCTGCCCTCCATGCTGAGACATGCAGTACCACACTGTGTTTATGTGACACTGGAGATGGCAGTCAGGGCCTAATGCACACTAGAGAGGTGCTCAAGCCCTGTGACTGGTTCTAGTAAGCCAAAGCCCACACAAGTAAAAGGACTGGGTGCTTTTCCCAGGAGGTCCAGGGAAGCTGTGACCTCTGGCATGCTGACACTTGAAGGTATACACCATGCTGGTGCACACAAGCCTTGAGCATGTAGGTGAACACTGCCTTTGATCACCAGCTATGGGATGTCATTTGCCTAGGAGACACAGCAAACTGGCAATGACAGCCTTCCTACAGATGTACAGGCCCTGGGAATTTCTGCCATTTTCAAGGCTTCCATCAACATGGCCACTGGCAGTCATGGTCACTCCGGAGGTCCTTACCTCTTGTGTCCAGACTCGATGCTCTCTGACTGGGTTCCAGCTTCCATTTCTTGACCTTGAAGTAGGGGCTGGCCCCATCCAAGCTGGCATGGCGGCGTAGCCGTGTGAAGAATTGCAGCACAGTGCCCGGCCCAGAAGAGCCTGTGCCCATCTCCCCAGGTGCTGCCTCAGGTCCAGGCCCAGGCCCAGCAGCCTTGGCACCCCGGACACCTGCATCTAACTGGGGATTGTGAGGGAGGCAGGGATGATTGTCAGGCATGGAGTACCCTCCCCAGCCCTGGCCTAACCCTGGGACCCCAGTAAACAAGCCTGTGGTCACCCTTCTAACAGCCTAAGCTCTCGGGTCAGGTCTGCCCTCTTGGACCCTGTCCTGGGGGAAGGGCCCTGTCTAACAGCTATCCTCCCTGGGCCACCAGCCTGGCTCTTACAGGGAATCCTAGTATACAGTATTCTGGTTCTGAAAGAGAAGGCATCTCCATCTTGGGTTAGGGAAAGCAGAGGGAACCCTCACCGAGGTGCCCTCCCCAGAGTCACTGGAGGCCGAGGGGCTGATCTCCGAGAAGTCCACAGAGTTGTAGGGATCACCTGGCAGGGCAGAGCTGGGACCCACTGATCGGCCAGTGAGGGCCTTCCCAGGGGGCTGTGAGACAGAGGGAGTTGGGGGAGGACAAGTAGGTGAGGGGGAGGTCCTACCTCCCTACCCCAGCCAGCCAGGACCCAACTTGGTACCTACTTGGACCCTTTGTACCCACCACCAACACTCAGCCAAGGACCAGGGCTGGCTGCAGCATTAACCTTACCTGGAAAATTGCCAAGCTGTCTTTGGGGGTGGTAGCTGGGTGGGGTGTGGCCACAGAGCTGGCCTCACCTGGTTCACACTCATGGATAGTAGCAATCTTGAGGGGCGGCAGGTGGAGGTGGGTGAGACGGGCATTCTTGAGGTGATGGAAGTCCCCCTCTGTCAGGGTATACCTATGTTGGGGGACCCCCCCGACAATCAGCTCTTAGCATTCTCTAGCATAACATCTATTTACTGCTCCAGGATGACTTTGAACTTCTGAGTCTCTTCATTTATCAAGTGCTGGGTCAACACCTTCTATTTGTTCAATTTTTGAGACAGGCTGGTCTTGCACTCAGGAGTGTCTGCCTGCCTCTGCCTTCTACCACAATTATCCCCAATTTTTGTTTTCTGAGGTCTCACTCTCTATCCTGCAGCACTGGCTTTGAACTTTGCAGCCATCTTCCTACCTCTGCCAGCCACATGCTGGCATTACAGCCTGCACCACCATACCTAGCATTTCCTTTTTATAGGCAGGTCTTGAAATGCACCCATGGTGGCCCTGGCACTTCCTATGGGGGCCAGTCGGGCCACAGACTTGTAGTGATCAGGGCTGGTGAGATGGCTCAGGAGTTAAGCGCACTTAGTACTCTTGCAGAGGACCTGAGTTGGGTTTCCAAGACCCACATTGGGTCTCTGCTCCAGAGAGATCTGTCGCCCTCTTCTGGCCTGTGTGCACTTGCACCCATGTGTACATAAACACACACAGAAACATATAAACAAACATTTAAAAATAACTCTGGTAATCCTCCTGCCTCAGTCTGCAGTGTGCTGGTATTCAACACATTAGCCACAGAGCTTGTACCTTAATATGGAGGATACTTACTCTCTACTATCCACCCTGCCAGCCCATACCAAGAGACCTGAGCCAGGGTCCCCAGCTTTCAGCACCAAGCGGCTGTGACCTCCCCCTGGCTTCCCTCACCGGCGGCCCTTGTCCTGAGCCTTGCGGCTCTGTTCAAACAGGGCAGCCTCGTTGAAGGACACGCGGCGGCCGGTGGAACTGGTGGCTAGGAAGCGCTCTGTCTCCGTGTCCTGGCTCTCGGGGTCTTCCCCCCTGCAGTCGGGGTCTGTGAGGAGAGCCAAGAGAGGGTGGGCCCCGGGTGGGCCGCGCGTGTCTTGCTGCCAGCCAGCCCGCTGGGCAGGGGTGGGCCGGGAGGGGGCGCGGGCC